TCTCCCTCTCCCACTCCCCCTGCTTGTGTTCCCTCTCCCGCTGTGTCTCTCTCTGTCAAATAAATAAATAAAATCTTTAAAAAAAAAAAAAAAAGGCATTCTCAGAGCACCTTTTAAAAGAGCATACCCCACTCTATATCTCCTTTGAGCCTGCCTTAGTTCTCTTCATGGGTCCTGTCAGTACTTGATAAGTAAATTGTTTCGTTTACATCTATCTTCTCCTGCTAGCTTATAAGCTCTAAGTGCTCAGGAGCATTGTTAGGTTCACCAGCTTATCTCCAACACCAAGAACACGAGTGGCATGTAGTAGGAATATCTGCAGAAGAATGAATGAATGAATGAATGAATGAATGAATGAATGAATGAATGCCTGAGGGAAAAATAGAGGAAACAGTCCATGAGGGCCGCCTGGGTGGCTCAGTCGGTTCAGGTCATGATCCCAGCGTCCTGGGATCAAGCCCTGCGTCGGGCTCCATGCTCAGCGGGGAGCCTGCTTCTCCCTCTCCCTCTGCCTGCCTGCCTACTTGTGATCTCTGTCAAATAAATAAAATCTTAAAAAAAAAAAAGAAAGAAAGAAATAGTCCATGAAATGGAGGAAGATGAATACTAGAGAAAGAAACTGAAGACAAAGGTCTAAGATGAGGCAGGCAGGGGTTCCATCCTGGCTATCGGGCAGAAAAGGGCAGCACTGGTATTTACAAGTGATGGACCAGGGCGGTTCAGGTGATCGGAGGCCAGCTTGCTCACTGTTCAGCTACTTCCGAAGGTCTGAGGGCCCAAAATTGAAATACAGAGACACACACCAACCTCAGAACCAACTCATCTGGGACCTGATTTCTGTGGGCTTCTTCCTTCCTCCACAATGACTGACTCACCTTGATCACCCTGGTCTGGGAATTCTCCCTCTGATGGCCACAGCTCTTCTCCGTGCTCCAGCCTGAAGATCACATCTGGTTTGGTGAGGTGACACCCTGTAAGTGGGATACAGGATAAAACGTGTCAGAGCTGCTTGGATATCAGGGCCCCTGGAGCACGAGGAAGGTGCAGCTTCAGGAGCCACATGATAAAGGTGCCTGTGTGCACCTTGCATTAGGGAGGTCAGAACACAACGTCCTTTCTGAGCCTGACGGGAACATCTCTGACCCACAAGATCATGAGATCTACACACAGTATCATTAAACACTCCTTCAGGGGCCCACAAACTCTGGCGGCTACGAAGGAAGAAAGGAAACGCACGCGAGGAGACGTGACACAGGGAACAGCCCTCACCCACTGAGACCAGGTGGCTGTAGTTCTCCAGCATCACGTCCCGGTACAGCGTCCTCTGTGTGCCTGTCAACTGTAGCCACTCGTCCCGGGTAAAGTCCACAGTCACATCCTTGAATGACACGGATCCCTGACCAGCACATTTCTGTTCAAGCCAGAGAGAGCAGTATAGGGTGACATGAAACACACATGTGGGAAACAAGTCTTAACATGTCTGAGAGTTTACCATTAACAGCAGGTATGTTGCCTATTCTATACCTTCTTTTGTTTTTACTTCGTGGGATAAAGGGATATGATGGGAAAACCCAGTATTAAAATTAATTCAAACAAAACAACTACAGTTCCTACTGTGTTTCTGAAACTGTCCTAACCTGCCGGGAATATTAAGCTAAACCAACTCTGGTTTTTTTCCTGCCCTTAAGGAGCCTAAGTCTTTTTTTTTTTTTTAAGATTTCTTTGAGAGAGAGAGAGAGCACGTGAGTGGGGGGAGGGGCAGAGGGCAAGGGAGAGAAGCAGACTCCCCACTGAGCGCAGAGCCTGACACAGGGCTCGATCCCATGCCCCTGAGATCATGACCTGAGCCGAAACCAAAAGTCAGACACTCAACTGACTGAGCCACCCAGGTGCCCCAGGAGCGTAAGTCTTAATAAGGTGACAAATCACATTTACGAACACATCCTGTAATAAGGTATCACAAGAGCTGTGCTAGAGTTATTTACAATGAGTATTAAATAATGGTAGAAAATATGGTTCTATTTTGTATTGTCAGGTTCGGCTTCACTTAGCAGGAGATCTTCGTTAATGTGGCACCATTACATAAGCAGAGCCAAGGAGCCATGAGAAGCACCCAGAAGTGTGACAGGAGAACAGTGTGTAGGACTGTAAGAAGATAAAGATCTGCAAAGGTGTCCAGGGATACATTACAGAGCAAATCTGGGTTTATTCCTGTACTTTAGTGTCTCCAAAATAGTTCACCCCCACCTTAGCGATAAAGTTTGAGCACCTCCAATTTATTTATTTCTTAATACATAATATATACATCCCGCCAATCCACACAAGCTTATGATAAGCTTAATTTGTCTTTTTTTTTTTTTCCTGGCTAAAAGTTAAATGTAGACAACCTACTGTTCCCTTTCTGCTGGAGCATCCCGAGCCCTCGGCAGGCGTGACCATACTGAAGAGAATAAGGAACCAGCGAGGACACAAAAGCAATCACTGTTACAGTTCTCAAATCAACAACCTAACTTTACAACTTAAGGAACCAGAAAAAGAAGAAATTAAACCTAAACCCAGCTGATGGAAGGAAATAATAAAATCAGAGCAGAAATATAACAGAAAAATAGATAAAATGAAAACAAAAGCTGGTTTCTGAAGAGATGAACAAAACAGACAAACTTTTACCTAAATGGACTAAGGAGAAAAAGAGAGAAGACTCGAATTACTAAAATCAGAAATGAAAATAAGGACATTTATACCATTTCTACTGAAATAAAAAGGTTTATAAGAAAGTACTATGAACAACTGTATGCCAACAAACTGGATAACCAAGAGGAAATGGAGAAAATTCTAGAAACACGAAACCCAGTCAAGACTAAATCAGGAGGAAAACAGATGATCTGAATAGAACTGTAACTAGTAAGGAGACTGTCAGTAATGAGGAGTATCCCAACAAACACACATCCTGGACCTCATGAAGTGAAAACACGCTCAACATCACTGATCATTAGGGAAATGCAAATTAAAACAATGAGAAACTGCCTCACACCCATTAGGATGGCACCTATAAAACACACACACACACAAAACACGTGCTAGAGAGGATGTGGAGAAACTGAATCAATCCCTTGTGCAGTGCTGGTGGGGATGTGAAATGGAAGGGCATGGCAGTTCTGCAAAAAGCGAAAAACAGAATTACCGTATGACCCAGTAATTCTACTCCTGGATATATAGCCAAAAGAACTGAAAGCAGGGTCCTGAAGACATAATACACCTGTATTTACAGCAGCATTATTCACAATAGTTAAAATGTGGAAGCAACCCAACAGATGAATGGATAAGCAAATGTGGTATGTACATAAAATAGAGTATTATTCAGCCACAGAAGAGGGAAGGATGTTCTGACACACATGCTACGATATAGATGAACCTTTAAGACATCACGTTAAGTGAACTAAGTCAGCCCACGAAAGGAAAGCTACTCACTTACACGAGACAATATCATAGAGACAGAGAACAGAACGGTGGCTGCTAGGGACAAGAGGAAAGGAGGAATAGAAAGTTATTGTTCAGTGGGCATAGAGCTTCAGTTTTACAAGATTAAAAGAGCTGTGGGAACGGATGGTGGTGATGGTCGCCCAACATTATGGAAAAAAAAATCAGTGAAACCAAAAGCTGATTCTTTGAAAAGATTACAAAAAAAATCGATAAACCTCTAACTAGGCTTTCTATGAAAAAGAGAGGACGCAAATTACTAGTACGTAAAATGAAAGAGGGGACATATTACTACAGATCCTAGGGATGAATAACTCTATGTCCACAAATTTGATAACCTAGATGAAGTGGACCAATCTGTTCAAAGACACCACCTGTCAACATGCAAGAAGAAATACACAATCTAAATAATTCTATATATAGCAAAGAACTTGAGTCAATAATTAATAATCTTCCAAAACAGAAAGCACCAGGCTTAGATGGGTTCACTGTGAATCCTACCAAACACTTAAGGAAGAAATTATACTACTTCTCTACAATCTCCTTTAGAAGACAGAAACAGAGGGAACAGTTCCTATTTCATTCTATGTGGCCATCATTACCCTAACAGCAAAATAAGACATTCCAAGAAAAGAAAACTACAGACCAATATCTCTCATCAACACAGAAGCAAAAATCCTCAAGAAAATATTAGCAAAAATGAAAGCAACAATGTGTAGAAAGAATTATACATCACAACCAAGTAGGATTTTTCCAGATATGCAAGGCTGGTTCACCATTCCAAATCTATTAAGATAATAAGCCATTACATCAACAAGCTAAAGAAGAAAAATCACATCATATCCATAGATGCAGAAAAAGCATTTGACAAGTAAAAAAAACTCTCAATAAACTAGGAATACAGAGAAATGTCCTCAACTTGATAAAGAATATCTACAAAAAACTTACAGCTAACGTCATACTTAATGGTGAAGAACTGGAAGCTTTACCACTAACATCAGGAACAAGGCAAAGATGTCACCTTGTACTGGAAGTCTTAGTTAATGCAGTAACACAAGAAAAGGAAATAAAAGCTATACTGACCAGGAAGGAAGAAATAAGCTGTTTTTGTTTGTAGATGACATGATGGTCCATGTAGAAAATCCAAAAGAATCAACAAAAAAGAGATGTGAAGCTATTAAGTGATCATAGCAAGTTTCCAGGATACAAGGTTCATATGTAGCAATCATTTTCCTATATAACAGCAATGAATAAGTGGAATTTGACATTAAAAACATAATTGCAGGGGGCGCCTGGGTGGCTCAGTCAGTTAAGCATCTGCCTTCAGCTCAGGTCATGATCTCAGGGTCCTGGGATTGAGTCCCGTGTTGGGCTCCCTGCTCAGTGGGGGAGTCTGCTTCTTCCTCCTCCTCTCCCACTGCCCTGCTTGTGCTCTCTCTCGCTCATTCTAATAAATAAATCTTTTTAAAAACTCATAA